TCGAGGATAAGGATCCAGGCTGCAGGACATTTGCCTAGAAAAACCAAACACTTCGCTCAGAGTTCGCCGGAATAACCAACTTTGAGCTCTCTTCAGCTAGGATTAGGATCTAGGCTGAAGAGGTTGGCTGGAAAAACCAACACTTCGCCTAGGCCGAGATAAGGATCTAGGCTGCAGGAAGTTGGCAGGTTTGACCAACAAATCTTTGCCCTACTGAGGGGCAATCAAGAAGTTTGGTAGGAATGGCCAAGCATTTAGCTCTTCTTCAAGCCGAGATAAGGATCCGCGCTGAAGAAGGTTGGCAGGAATAACCAACATTTAGCTCTCCTAAGCCGAGATGAGGATCTAGGCTGCAGGAAGTTGGCAAGTTTGACCAACAAATCTTTGCCCTACTGGGGGGCAATCAAGAGTTTGGCAGGAATGGCCAAGCATTTAGCTCTTCTTCAAGCCGAGATAAGGATCTGCGCTGAAGAAGGTTGGCAGGAATAACCAACATCTAGCTCTCCTAAGCCGAGATAGGTATCTAGGCTGCAGGAAGTTGGCAGGTTTGACCAACAAATTTTTGAACTCTTTGGCTAGGATGATGGTTACCTCGGCCAAAGCAGGTTGGCAGGTATGACCAACAAATTTTTTTTTAACTCTTTGGCCGGGATGATGGTTACCTAGGCCAAAGCAGGTTGGTAGGAATGACTAGCAAAATTTTTTTGAACTCTTTGGCCAGGATGATGGTTACCTCGGCCAAAGCAGGTTGGCAGGTTTAACCAACAAACTTTTGAACTCTTTGACCGGAATGATGGTTACCTCGGCCAAAGCAGGTTGGCAGGTTTGATCAACAAATTTTGAACTCTTTGGTCGGGATAATGGTTACCTCGGCCAAAGCAGGTTGGCAGGTTTGACCAACAAATTTTTTCCTGGACTGAGATGGTTATCTCGGTCAAAGCAGGTTGGCAGGGTAAGTATAAACCGAGCTAGTCTGCTCGGCGAGACACAGAAAGAACGACTCGCCATACGATTGCAAACTCGAAGGATATATACGTTGAAGGCAAAAACGCAAGGCTATTCAAATTTTCGGCATGACGGCGGTAACAGGAGAACGAGGATTTTGGGGGCACGCCATGTATCCTGGGAATGACGTCGTACCAGATTAGTGGAAGGACATGTTGAGCAACTGACAAGGCTTAATGAGGGCCGAACAAACTTTTTAGCTCGGCAGAGTGGGGGCGTTCTTAGCTTGGCTGGAGGAAAAATAATCTCAATCATGCTATGTAGATGGAATTAAGGGGCAATTAAGAGGGTCATTTGTAAACAAATTGGGCCAAGCTAGGAAGAGTCTTCTTTGGGAGCTGGGCCACGTAATGGGCCGAGATAAGGGCCAGAGTATGGATGATGGATAGCTCGGTCCTTTTTTATCTGAGTACAAAACTGGGCAAGGGCGTTGACCGAGCAACCTAAATACTAGGCCCAAGGGTTAGTCGAAGTGTTTGGTAAGACAGATGGTAGAGCTAGGTATAGCTCAATCGATGCTTCTATTCCATTACTTAGTTGAGCACAGAGCTGAGGTAAAGATGACAGCCGAAGTAAAGAAAGTTCTATAGCAAACCGAGGTAACATCAATGGCGAGGGTCGAGCTGTGTATAGCTCGGCAGGGTGGCATTCGATAGATTGACTTTCGATCACACGGTCCGAATGGCAGGGAACCAAGATAAGGCAGTTCGGTCAGAAATGTATAACCGAGGTAAAGGGTTCAGCCATCTCACTTGACTTGCAGTGATGAGACTCCTAGTAGGACTCTGCTAAGGAGAGTTAGAGTCCTACTGGGATTGTGTAAACCATCTCACTTTGTTGGTAATGAGTAAGAGTATGACTCCTAAGAGGACTCTGCTAAGGAGAGTACAGCCTTACTAGGATTGTGCAAACCATCTTACTTGGTTGGCAGTGAGTAGGGTGTGTGATTCCTAGAAGGACTCTTATAAGGAGAGTTGGAAATCCTACTAGGATTATGCCAAGCAGAGTCTATAAAAGCTCATGGCCAGACCTATGTACAGGTATCCCAATTCTTACTCTAGAATACACAGAGCTTATTGTCTATTTCTAGTTGTTGACTTAGGCATCGGAGGAGTTTCCGGCACACACCCGCCGGCTAGCTCACAGTTATGTTTTCAGGAAGTAAAGCGATGACATTTGGAGAAGCGCAAACTTGATCAACAGGATCATACGAGAAGAATTATTTCGTACTCGTACAATATATATAACAAACTTATCACATACAAGAAAGACCAAGCAAATATAAGAAAAATGACACATAAATGAGAAGAGTTGAATGCTTGTAGAGCTGATTTTTATTTATTTATTTTGAAAGTTTGCGTTAAGCTGTTTAATATAATTTTTACTTATAACTTATTAAATAAAAATAATTTAAATAAGGTAAAAAAAATTGACTATTTAGAAGTTGAAGAGTATGTATTTTTAACTTTTATTTTTTAATTTACAAAGTTGCACAAAACAAGCCAATAAAGATGCCATAGTTGAGTTAAAAAAAAAAATGCCATAGTTCCACGGAATTGGGGATGTTGCTGTGCAGCGAAATGGGCTCATTTCGAGGCTCATTTCAATCATTCAAATCGTTCATATTTTGGAATACATCAAGTAGAACATTCTTGCAAAAAATCAAGTTAATCGGATATCGTTTACCCATTCATCCACTCACATTTGTATTCATTTTAATACTTTAAATCACAATTATTTTTTATTTTTATAGATACAAATGTGAGTATATGAATAAGTAAACGATATCAAATTAACTTGATTTTTACAGGCATATTCTACTTGATGTATTTTAAAATATGAACAGTTCGGATTATCGAAATAGACTCCGAAATGAGCCCATTTCGCTACGCAGTCCGCATAATAGCACCCACTCTTCCTAGTTCCACATGGTTGCTTACACTTTGGGAAATTCTATGGTACAAACCCCCTCTAAGGTGGGACCATATGCACATTTAGTTACGACTTTTGTGTTTCTTATTATGATGTACTGTGTTGTTAGTTACAATACCTTGTAATGTTAGTTATGACATTATTTTAGTGATGATCCAGAATTATTTTGTTAAACCTCATATGATGTTTCATTATAGCTCAAATTTTTTTGGGAGAGTTACGTGTAGGTCCTAATAGATGGAATTATTGTCTAATAGGTCATATGATAATTAATGACATTTTTCATCAAACACTATTAAAAAAAGTCATTAATTGTTAATTTTCAGCGACATTTTAAAAATTGTCACAAAAAATGGTACTAATTATAAATTTTAGCGACAATTTAAAAAAGTGTCACAAAAAAATTTCACTAATTTTTAAATTTCAGCGACAGTTTGAAAATTTTTTCATAAAAAAAGTCACTAAGTTTTAGCAACATGTGTACCATAGTATTTCCATTATACTTTATACCTTCAATTATCAATAAATATCATTTTATTTTTATTAAATTTAAAACAATACATTTAAACAAACTTCTCAAACCTCAATTTAAAAAAAAAATTTAAAAATTGTACAAATAGAATGATGAAGGTGAAGCAATTTTTATAGTCAATAGGTCTAAACGTATGATTTTGAAACTTAGAAAATAAAATGATATTTAAAGGGTGGTTTGAGATGATCTAAATAAGTATACTTTTTGACTTTTTATAAAATATAGATTGGGTATGAGTTGGGTTTGAAGTAATATGGTAGAGAGGTGATGTGACTTAAATAAAATGATGTGATTTAAATAAGATAATGACTTTTTAATTTTTTGACTTTTTTAAATTATGACAAATAAAACCTTAGTAAGTAATTTTTTTTTTTTTTTTTTCACTCCAAAAGAAATTTCCCTTTAACTAAAAATATCAATCACAAAAACACTTGACCAATTTCCACAAATCTTTATCGATCCAATTGCAAAGAAATCTTAGCGAAATTGTGTTAAAAAGCAAAGAGAAATTTCCCTTTAACTAAAAATATCAATCACAAAAAGACATGACGAATTTCCACAATCTTTATCGATCCAATTGCAAGGAAATCTCAGCGAAATTGTGTTAAAAAGCCAATGTGAAACTGAAACTTAGATATTTCCGATGTACTCAAAAAAAAATAAAAAAACTGAAACTTAGAAGTTAACTGTGAACGAGAAAAAGGTCTTATTTTCCTTTGTACAATTTCACAGAAACTTGGGTTTTTATGACTTTATGAGCAAAGAAACTTCATAGAAATCTTGGTATATCGTGTCTAAATGGGTTGGTTCATACCAAATTTACAAAAACATTTACATTTGATTTGGGATCCATCATTTCACGTGAAACTTAACATTATATTAATTAATATATTTATTGATTTATTAATTATTGTTTCTAACATTATTTTGAATCTAAACGGCTAGTCAAGGAAATATCATTTGGGTTTTATTGTTTCCAATTAAGAACCAAATGTTCACACGTTTGAGTTTGTGGGATCCGTCACAAGTTCTCCGTTGATGATCTTAATCGTTCATTTTTTAGATCATAACGTGTAAATCATCTATGAAATTTGATAATCATAGCCACGTTAATTTATGACGTTTATAAAAAAATTAGATGAATCTAATAACTATAACGATATAAGTTTATTGCATTTAACATAGCAACAACGGCCATTAGATCAATCTTTTTTATATGAATGATTTATACATTGTGATCTAAAAAGTAAACTGTTCAAATTATTAAAATAGAAACCCCAAAAACCATGGTATGGACCGAAGAGAATCTAGTTTCTCCTGATTAGGAAAGTTATATATCCAAAATCTCATACAACCCAAACTCTTTTTTTTTTTTTTTTTTTGGGACAAAAAACTTGAAATGAAATGCTTAATACAGTAATGAAAATGAAATACTCGTCAAGACAAGGAAAGCAAGTAAATATGCGTGTTGAACATGCTGTTCCATGGAAACAACAAAGGAAACAACGTGGCTTCAACAATAAAAATTGAAAGAATGAGACTCACAACATAAACAAACTCTCTCTCCCTCTCTCTCTCTCGTTATTATTTGTTATAAAACTCTTCCAGAGTGCTATAGCTCTTGATTTTTTCTTTTTTAGAAAAATGTCTTACTTGCATATCTCTACATGTAGCAAAACGCTCGAGCGCCATCAACTGAGTGAATCAACTGGATATTTTGAACCTCTTAGAAATTTAGATGTTTCGGAAGCATCAGGCAATAATTCTCTGCACGTCGCAGCCCAACTTGGCTGCCACGATGCTGCTTCCATAGAAGCACTGTCCAAGCAGCCTGGACTCGCCGAGGAATTGAACCTCGACGGTCTCACTCCACTGCACCTGGCATGCCAGGAGGGTCATCCAGAAATCGTCGATAATTTGATAAAAAGTAATAAAAATCTTTGCAATCTCAAGGCCAAGAATAATGGGCTAATTCCACTTCATGTTGCAGCGATGAAAGGCAAGGTTGAGATTGTGAAGTTGTTGGTTGATGCTTGCCCTGAGTCGGTGAAAGAAGCAACCGCGGTGGGTGAAACTTGTCTTCATCTTGCTGTTATGTATAATAAGGTGAAGGTGTTCCAGTACTTAGTGAAATGGCTCGGCGAGAGGATTGACTATGGCGGCGATCTGATTAACAGAAAGGATCGTGGTGGAAAGACGGTTTTGCACCTTGCCACATCCAGAAAACAACTACAGGTCTAGTTGGTTTTCTCAAACTTTTTCTACTTCCATAGAAACTAATCATAATTTCATACATGATCCTCTCCCGTATGAGTATATTTATCAAAATCTCGGATCCTATGACTTTAATTTGCCCAATCGATACAGATCGCACTAGAATATTAAATTTTGTAAGATCATAAAATGATTATGATCCTACCCGTAAAATCATGTAGAATTGTAATACGATCACTATACTATTAAAAAAAATCTCATACATATGTATATCTATATAAAAAATTACTATAAATTCTGTGTTAACATAGAAGATGTTTTATTAAACTTAGGATAAATTACACTTATCTTCTCTGAGATTTCTGACAAATATAGGGACCTCCCCTATAGTTTTAATAATCATAATAACTTCTCCTACTTTAACTGACAATACCAAGATTCTCCCAATCCGTCAATTTTACACCAACGACGTTATTTGCTTATACAAAATGACCGTATTAACCTTTTATTTGAGCACAAGAAGGCAAAAATACCCTTTACTATTTCTTTTAACCCTACAAAATATATATTGATCCTTCTCCTTCCTTCATTTACCAATCTAAACCCTCTGAAGAAATGAGAGAGAGAGAGAGAAGCTCATCTTCGCCAGTGCCCCTTCTTTCCGCCGTCTGCCACCGCCGTATTTCCTTCTCCTTCTCTTCTTCTTCCTCCACTCCCTTTCCGTCGTCCGTCGCTGACCGATCTGGGTTGACCGATGATGGCTGCAGCGTTGACCGATCTGGGTTTGTGACGGTTGGTTGCTATCTTGGTCACGATCGGAAGAAGAAATAGAAGAGGAAGGAGAGGAAGAGAGAAGGTAGACGTACGGCTGAAGAAGGAAATGGTGAAGATGGCATCAATTGATAAAAATGGAGCATTATCTCTTTTTTATTGCAAGGATGGCAATGGTGGGCCTGAGATTGAGATAATGTTGAAGAAACATGAAACATAAGTTTTGCACACCAAGCATTCTAGTAGTGATTGATAGATGCAAAAGTTCATAAATCTTGCTGACATACTTTCTATTTCTTTTTTCTTCTTTGAAACCATATTTCATTGATTTTTGTTTAAACCATACTTTTTTCTTCTCTTGCCGTCTCAACCAAAGAAAATCCATACAGTTCCATTGTTACAATAGAACAAATTTATGAGCTTTATTTATTGTTGCTTGTAATGAAAAAGGAATTGAACATGATTGGCTTTATTCTTTTGGATTCATTTTCATTAATTTTCATTTTCTCTAGCATGATGGTACACAATACATTATAGGTGCCAAAATCTGGACCAACTGAAACCCAATTTCATTATTGGGTTGCAGTAGATATGGACCATAGTTCTTTGAAATCTATTGGGTTATTTCTAATCTTTGAACAATGAATCTGTTTGAGAAGCATGTTATTTGAATTTTACTTTTATTGCCTGTATAGCATGCATTCTTTGATTTTTTTTAAAAAAAAATTAATTTAGTTTATTTTTTTATTTTTTATTTTTTTCATGTTAATCTGGATGGCCTAATAATATGAATTTACAAATTTGTATGTATATGCTAAGGCCATTCTAGTTGCTTCTGTTTACTGCATATTATAGTACCAAAATTTTATAAATTGTTACTTCTGGGCAGAGACAAATCATGCTATTAATGAAGTCTACTAGTTCTTACAACTTATAATGGAATATGGAGTCCTCCTAGTTGTATATTTGTATGTATATATTGGAATGGAAAAGTGGGTGTAAGATTAGAGGAGAAAATGTTGTGTGCCTACAATTTTTGTATAAGTTTTCGTATAAATTTAATGTGTGTTTGGAATGGATAATAAGAAGATGGAAGTGGTAAGAATTATAAAGAGAGAGAGAGAGAGGGAGAGAGAGAATATGAGGCGATGGGAGTAATGCTATCGGTGGAGGAGTGGAAGAGGATAAGAAGAGGGAAAGGAAGAAGAGCAATGTTTGTGATGTTATCGGAGTGTTTGGTTATAAGGAACAAAGGGTGATTTTGGTATTCAGTCACCATAATGTGTTGATGTAAGAAATTTTCATCACCTGTCTAACGGCTAGTTAACATAATGGTGGTTTGTATATATTGTCAGTTAAAGTAGAGGAGATTATTGTAATTATTGAAACTACAGGGGAGATTTCTATATTTGTCAGAAATCTCAGGAAAGGTAAGTGTAATTTACCCTTAAATTTATTATTTTTCTATAATGATTTTAAAATTATAGAAAAAATGTTGAGTTTATGGAGGAAAAAATGTTGTTGACATTCCATATCCAAAAAAAAAAAGTATTGTTCACATTCCATATTCATTTTCTTTTCGAAGTACAAATCTCTCTTCAAATCCAATAGCCAAATACAGTTTTTATGATCGTTTTTTATGATCTTGTATTCAGGACTCGCATTGAAGCTGTAGTTGTTTGTCTTTTCTTTTATTTCCAAAATTTTTGGTTTCCTCTCGTCATCTCCACTGTATTTTCATGTTTGTAATTTTGAAGGATTGTCCTCTGTTTTATTGGGAACAAACAGAATTTTACTTACCTAAGTTCATTTTTTATGAAGACTTTAAAAGTACTGCTTGATAATCAAAGCCTTAACAAAATAGTGGAAGTCAACGCCAAGAACTCCGGCGGTTTCACCCCTCTGGACATCCTAGATGTTCTCCCATATTCTGGAAAGATCGAAATGGAAATCGACAAAATCCTTCGACGAGCAGGCGCCATGAGAGCCCGGGACATGACAGATCAAAGCATCAACATCAAGGTCGATCATGAATGCAGAAGAAAATCTCAAAACCCATCAAATATTAGCACCATCAAGTCCCTCATCAAGCTCAGAACAGAGGCATTGAATGGAATACTGTTAATCACAGCCACATTGCTCACAACAATAACCTACCATGCCGGATTTAGCATCCGCGCCACGGTTGCAAATTCTAAAGAGGGTTACACTTATAGATACAACCCAAATGGTACGCTCCAATTGAAGAAACAAGGTTCAAGCCTAACTAGATTGTTCATACTGTTTAATTCGTCTGGGTTCATCTCATCGGTGGCATTGGTTATATTCCTCCTACATGAATTCCCAATGAAACCGTGGCCACAAATCTCGGTTTCAGCCCTGTTTGGGGCTTATATGTGTTCAATAATGGCAGTATCTCCCAATGAAGCCTTTGCTCTGCTCTTGTTAGCAACTCCCTTTTTGCTGTTGGCAGCTGGAGGAAAACTCTTGGGCCTTGGCCGGCAGAGGCCAGATGCAGAATGCGAAGATGGAGACGCATAAAACCATGTACTGTCTTGTGTTCACGTCTATGCAGAAGCAAGCGTGTTTTGACTGTGTTGTATCTTTGAATTCTAGCTAAAATAAGAGTGACGAGTGTGTGTGTGTGTGTGTGTGTGTGTGTGTGTGTGTGTGTGTGAGAGAGATAAAAGAACTTGGGACTGTATGGAATGTGTGTGTGTGTGTGTAATGGAAGAACTTGGGACTGTATGGAATAAACTCTTGGGGTAGTCTTTGCTACCTGTGCTACAAAGGCTTTTTACTAGGGATGGCAATTTGAATCCGATCTGACGGAACCTAACCCTCGACTCCGATTAAAACGGATTTTTCTTGAAAAATACTCCCGACAGGCAGGAAATGATATCTGAAAATGAATCCCCGACAATTTTCAGACAGGAGACGGTGATAGGTTCCCCCCGGCCCATCCCCCTTTTCACCCCGAATTGAAATTACTATTAGACCTCTCTGTATGTATATGTTCTTTGGAATTTTTTTTTTTTTTTTTCAGTAAGAGTTTCTGGAATTTCCCCAGACAACATGAAGAAATATTTGCATCCTCTTGAGATAAAGTACATTTTCCTATCAATGATAAGTAGACACAAGTTAAAGTTAAGTAACTTCTCAAAACTTCCCTTTTAATAAAAAAAAAAAAAAAAAAAGGTCAAGAATTTTTCGAGATCAGAAAAACCCGATCCCTGTTAGGGACAAGGACGGGAGGTGATGGGTTTCCCACCAAGAATCGAAGGCAAGAACAGAAAATTTTATATCTTCAAAGATCGAGAACGAAGAGTATAATTCCCGGTTCCGTCATGATCCATTGACATTCCTACTTTTTAACATCTCCATAATGCTAAGCATAATATAGTGTAATCACTAATTGCTTGGAAATTGTGTAACCATGTGAAAAAGTTGATCAATGTGTTATACAAGTACAATGATATAGTATCACCTGCAATCTCCACAACCATCTAAGGCCTATTTTGAAAAAATGATAAAAAGTAATTTTTTCACTTTTAATCAAATTTTTAATTTTTTTAGACAAATAATTGAAAAGTTAATAAAAAGTGACTTTTGACTTTTTTTATTAATATTTGTTTATGACATCAAATCATAATAAAATGACCAAACCAACTTCACCTATGTAATACATTTTGACCCATGAACAGTAGAATTATAATTTCACTATTGACTAAAAACCAACTTCCCAAATGATAAAAAATTCAAAAAAGCCAACTTTTAACTTTTGCTGCAAACCAAAAAAATTGGTTAGAAGCCAACTTCCCAAAACAAGCCTTAAGTAGAGTTCCATGACAACTAGCAGCCACATTTATTGTCTCACAACCCTATATCGTACATGAAGCAATCTCTCATCTGTCTCACTAGCCGACCTTGACCCCTGCTATTTTGACTTCATATCTAACATTCAAAATCCACTCGAGCAAAGTAGAGATGTAAAGATGATCAAGATTCTAACACGTAATCACAGTCAATTGTACCGAACTTGACAGCCAAATAAGAAATGATAGATAACAGCCATCTCTTCTTCATGCATAGCAGAGAAATCACTATCAGAACAATACAAGCTGTTCTTATTTATTTACAGAAAGGCAATCCCTCTCAAAAACCATAACAGGGTTTGTAAATATATTGTTTTTTTTTCTTCTTCAATTTCTGTTCCACGGACAGTTTTAGTTCAAAACAGAAAATATTTCGAAATAAAGGACTCAAAATTGAATGAGAATTAAATCTCAAGGATTCAATAATGTTGACTACAACCGGAGGATGTAAAATACCCAGTCATTCAGGCTGAGTTTTAATAAATTGTGCCAGAACTCTGCTGCTCTGGCAACAAATTGGAAATGAAGCCAATAAAAAGGAATGGTTGAGCTTGAGCTCTCATAGCCATTGTGAATGAGCATTTGAAAAAAAGGTGCTCAGAGTCCAGGTATGGATTCGAGATTGTATTTTTCGGAAGCTGAAGTTTCACCATCTCGGTTCTCTCGCAATTTTGGCTTTTTGATGGCATCGAGAGTCTGTAGATATGTGTAAGAAGCACTCCGATTTGATGAAGGGGCTGGATTGCTGATTCTGCTAGCAAGGAAGCGACGGATCAAGCTTCTGAGAAACGGAGCCATGGTATCTGGTTCATGTTCCAAGTAATACATTATTCCACCCATGCATGCACAGAATAGAGCCACCTGTAACACTCGGGAAGCCAACAATTCAGACAATTTCTTTAGTTCTTTACCCCCTTTTTTTTCTTTTTTCTTTTATGGTATGACCAAACAGTTCAGGCATACTAGTAGTACATGGAAATAAAATAAATCTCCAAACTTTGTGGATTTGGACATAATTTAAAGGGAAAATTTTACTTTACCCCTTGTGGTCCAACCCCCTACGGTTAAAATACAGGCAAAGGGCTCCCTCATAGCTTTGGACTAAATTGCAATCTAATATCTGATAACATTAGCCATGACAAGACTACTTTACTTTTGAGAAATGCCCCATCCCCCCATTTCATCACCCCCGATTGCACCTCTAATGAGGTGGCAAACAATAATGACCAATCAACTCTCTTCAAAGTGTGGAATCACTTCACATGGGAGTGTGCCACGTCATTAGGGATGGAATTAGGGGTGCAAAATTAGAGGGATGTAGCACCACTCTCTACTTTTACATGAAAAAGACTACTCTCTCTCTCTCTCTCTCTCTCTCTCTCTTCTATCATACACCTAATTTTAACATAATCCCATATTAATGAATTAAACCACCTATTAACTCTAAATTTCTATTCATTTAACAACCTAATTATATACACAAATATATATATACCTAAAAATTTAACCTTATTAAACTCCAAATTACACACATACACATGTATATATATATATGCACACCAAATCAACCCAATTTTACTTTTTTTCAATTGTGGCACCTGCAACACAATCTTCCTCAAATCTCTCTTCCTACCCATTTGAGTGGTTCTCCCAGTAGACCATATTTTCCTCTTCAAACCTCTTACGGGTAATAAAATAAAACTCCAATGTTTGTGCCTTTTGCCATAATTCAAAAGCTAAGTTCTCTGAATTTTACCAACAATTTGAATAAGACATAGAAATGAAAAATCATACACAGCAACAGTTTCAGACAATTTCCATGAAACAACATAATTTGTAATGGCAGTGCTTCATAGATTTATGTGCAAATGAACTAAGACAACATATAAACAATTGAAGGATTTGCATGACAATAAATAAATAACACAGCTAATTCCAGCCTAGTTCAAACAAAGAAGCATCCTCGGGAGAGTAAACTATCATGGCAGTTGCCAAGCTAGCTACATTTTTTTTATTGGTTGCAAAGCATGAACATAATGAGGAAGTTTCTTATGATTATTTAAAGCATCACTTTTTCCAAACGCCAAATAAGCCTAATTAGCACTGAAACGTGTTCTCAAAACTTGAACCTAAAGCAGTTAAGAAGTAATACCTCAGCGTTCTTGATATTTGGAAGCAGATGACGATTCACTAATATATACCACAAAGAATCTCCAGCTCGAGGAAGAACATACAAGGCAAGTTCTCCACGTCTACCTTTCTTCTCCAGTAGTACAGAAAGGGCAGCAAGCCCACCTGCGACCCAATAAACAAGCTTGTGGTCCTTTGATGCCACCTTTCTATGCAAACATATAACCCCCTTGCAATACCAAAGAGAAGTACAGAAACAGAGTTATGTAAATTCCAGAAAATGCAAATAAAAATGACATTGAAAAAACAGCCACCTGAAATATTCCTACAAAAGCTGACAAAAATGATGTTGATCGAACAGCTCCTCTAACAGCATGCCAACAGATGCGGACAGGAGCATCCATGAACTAAAGTGGATCAAAAAATATATCAGTTCAACAACCCTAAAGCAAGCCCAAAAAATTTAAATAATAGTGGCTCAAAACAGGCTCGTCAAAGGCAAAAAGCTGCAACTAAGACATGCTGCCTTCTTGACTTTGGAAAATAACTACAATAATGACATTAGCACACTCCACAGTTCATATTTTTTATAAAGTGGATATGGCCTCACATTGAGGAAAGAGTCAAGGTTGCTCTTATGGATGATAAAAGGTATGTGTCCCATTAACCATTAAAAGTGGCCATGAATCAACTACCCTAAAAAATTATCAATGGATTAATATATTAAACTTATTATCCATAAACACAAGTCCATTCAGTAAAAAGAATATAACCTGTCATGCTTATATACTAAAGATCACACATTATTTAAACTACACAATATATGAGAAGAGACTATTCACACGTCCACTTTCATGTGGTTCTCACGAAAAAGAGAACCAGGAAACATATATCAAAATTGTAAGACCAGGGTGAAATATTTAAAAAACTGAGGTGTTTTCCTTCTTCTCACAAAAATAAATAAATAAATAAAAATTTGGGTCAAATGTTTTATATTATTGAGAGTTGGGTGTTTTTGCCTGTGTGCCCCAAAAGGGACAAATTCAGGTTGGTTGAATCTAAATTTCTCACTTTTTTCCACAATTCAAGAGGGTGTAGTAGATTCTACAGTTTTCAGTTGGTTGAAGATGGCATGTAATTTCTTCCGTACTAATGTACCACAAAATATATATATTCTCTAACTAGGCTATCAGCTACACTATCTGTGCCTAGCTTGCAGGCATTGTGCTTTATAAAGTGGAATAGGCTGTTGTTAGAATTTCCCATCTTTACCTTCACCTACTCCACTACACACTCCACTTCACCTACCTCCACTTCACCACACACTCCACTTCACCTAACCCACTATCACCTCCACTACACCTACTACCACATTACCTTCACCTACTCCACTACACACTCCACTTCACCTACCTCTACTCCACTACACACTCCACTTCACCTACCTCTACTCCACTACACACTCCACTTCACCTACCTCTACTCCACTACACACTCCACTTCACCTACCTCTACTCCACTACACACTCCACTTCACCTACCTCTACTCCACTACACACTCCACTTCACCTACCTCTACTCCACTACACACTCCACTTCACCTACCTCTACTCCACTACACACTCCACTTCACCTACCTCAATTTCAAATAGCAGCAACAAAATTTTACTAATAGAAACCACAAAGAGCATAATTGGTTATTTTCATCGAAAGGTAATAAGACAAATGGTGCAATTTCATATGTCATGAATCATGGTATAAAGGGGTTCTAAAACTAGACCAGGAAAAGAAGATACTTTGACTCTCCTTGCCAGGTCAATAGAGGGTGGATGATCAGTAATAAACAAAAAAATAGAAAATTTGGAAAATGTACCTTTCAGCAATAGCACGAACAAGGTCCGGTTTTAAGCGATGATCTACAAATTCCTCAAATCTTTGCACCTTTTCTTGTCGGATACTATCCATTTCTATCCTACAACAGGATGAATTCATCTTAAGCATACTCATACCAAGTTTTGACCTCGCAAGAGATTCAATGTTCAAGCAGTAATGCTCCGATGGGTTTTGTGCCATTTATGAAAGAGTTAATTACACCAAGACTCTGATAACCCTGTTCCGTACTATGCTAATTGGTCCTTATTATGAATATGATTATGTGTTTGATATGTTTATGTGTACCATTTATGTGAAAATATGTGGTTTTGAATTTCTATCTGTTTACCGTAGGAATATCTACTTTGAGAATTAAATTAAAGGCCTTATTGGCCAGAAACCCGAAATTAACTACGCCATTGTGATTAACGTAATTTTTAGAGCCTACGGTGAAATTTAATTGGAAATTGATTCGGATCAGAATAATTAGATTCAGAACGATTAATTAAGTGCCCAATTATTTAATATTGATATTTTTGATTAGTGGGACTTGCCTTAAGGGCACTATACACTCAATATCTCTCTTTTATTTCATTTGACTGATTTGGGCTCCTTAGAGAGTAAGAGAACTGAATTAGAGAGAGAGAGTGTAGGAGATTGAAGATTTCTCAAGAAGCTTGAAGATTTTGGAGTGTAACTCAAGAATTAAGCATAAGTTTGGAAGATTAAAGCTCCTAAGTGAGTAATCAACCCTTAATTCATGAGTTTAATATTGTGGTTTTGTGAATTCAAGTTGGCTGGTGACCAAGAAATGGAATTGTGTTGTATTTGATGAATTTGAGGTCCATGTGTGCATGCATGTAGAGAATTGCTATGAATTGCATAATCTAACATGTAATATGTGAATTGCGAAGAATTGAGCATTGGAGCATACATGCAAGCATGGTTTTGTTAATTTTCATGTTTATGAGCATCATTGGTGCTATTTGAAATGGAAATGAGGTCAAAAATGGACATGCATGTTGATTTATGGAAGATATGAAGCCTATGTAAAGTTTGAATGAATGAACCTTGAGTTTACCAAGAAATGTTGATTAATTTGGAAGAATTGGGCCATGATTTTGAGCAATTGACCTTACCTTGCTTATATATTCATGTTATATAATGTGTTTGCATGCTTTGGAACCAAATTTATGGGTTTTGAACCTTGGAAGGTCGAAATTGCGCTCAAGAACAATTTTGGATTTTCCAGAATTTATGATGTTCACTCGAGCGTGGGAATCACCGCTCGAGCGGGGAATACGTGCTCCCAGAATTTTTTGCAGACATGGCGTCTGCTCGAGCGGGGGAGTTCACGCTCGAGCGTGGAGCTATATAGGATGACCTTCCACTCTAGCGTCCGAGTTCGCGCTCGAGCGTCGAATTGATGTAACCAGAAATTTTGCAAACCTATTGGGTCCGCTCGAGCGGGGACCCTGTTTCTGAAAATTTTGAAAGTGCATGCTATGTTTCGTTTTCCGTTCCCTTTCACCTCTAAGTACTTTTAGGCATGCGTTAAACATTGTAAATGAGATAAGAAGACAAGAATGAAGCCTAAAGAGGAAAATGTGAATTTAGAACGGATTGAATTGTTTGTGACCCTTTTGTGTTCATGGAATGTGTAGGGTCGAGCTCCAGGGCAAACTAAACAACCGATCACTGTGAGTAACATCTTAACAAAGATATCTAAAATATGTTGTTCTCCAAATTACTTACTTCTATGTAAGTTTTATAAGTTCGTTGATTCGATTGGTGGACAATGTTGCTATGAATAAATGAATGGGCCAGTGGCCAGTTTGATCTGAATGATAGAGTGAATGGGCTAGAGGCCATTTTGACAAGAATGAATGGATGGGCCAGAGGCCGTTTTGACAGAAATGAATGGGCCAGAGGTCGTTTTGACATGAATGAATGGGCCAAAGGCCGTTTTGACACGAATGAATGAATGGGCCAAAGGCTGTTTTGACACGAATGAATGAATGGGCCAGAGGCTGTTTCGACATGAATAAATGAATGGGCCAAAGGCCAGTTTGATACGAATAAATGAATGGGCCAGAGGCCAGTTTGATCTGAATGATAGAGTGAATGGGCCAGAGGCCGTTTTGACAAGAATGAATGGATGGGCCAGAGGTCGTTTTGACATGAATGAATGGGCCAGAGGCCATTTTGACATGAATGAATGGGCTAAAGGCCATTTTGACACGAATGAATGAATGAATGGGCCAGAGGCCGTTTCGACATGAATAAATGAATGGGCCAAATGCCAATTTGATACGAATAAATGAAAATATGAATGGGGCCCAAAGTCGTTTGAAGCATGTTGTTCTACATACCGTTTGTATAACTCTTTATTTGATATCTATGAAGCACAGATACTCCGAAATAGGTCACGTATGCTTATCGGATACGTATCAGATACGGATACGCGCCCGATACGCGAGGATACGTATCAGATACGGGAAATGGAGTATCCGTTTTTTTTTTTTTTTTAATTTTTGAATTTCGGATACGTCTCGGATACGCGAGGATACGGAATGGATACGGTATGGATACGGCGGGGGCAAAAAAATAATTTAAAAAACTTAAAATGGGGTGAAATTGTAAAATATGAAAATAAAGATGAAATTAAACACAAAAAAATGAAAAATAACAAACCAAACTCTGTCTTACCTACGAATTCGACGCAGCCGCGAAGGAGGAGGAGAAGCAGCTCGCCGATCGTCTTGAACAGCTCGCCGATCGTCTCGAACAGTTGATCGTCTCAAACAGCTCGCCGATCGTCTCGAACAGCTCGCCGATCGATCTCATCTTGATCAGGTTCGTCCCTCTCTCTCTCCCTTTCGCTCCCTCTGTCTGTGACGAACTCTCTCTCTCTCCCTCTCTCTCTCTCTCTCCCTCTCCCTCTCGATCTCGCTCGATCTGTCTGTCTCGACTCGAGGTCTCGACTCTGGTTCGAGATGTCGATCTGGACTCTAGACTTGGTCTTGGATGTTTATTTATTTATATTTATTTATTTTTTTATATGTAGACTCTGCAAATCGTAAAAAAATAAAAAAAATAAAAAAATAAAACTTATATATTCGGTTTATTGAATAAAACAAACAAATAAATAAATAAATAAAATAAGGTAAAAAAAATTTAGTAATAAATAAATAAATAAATAAACTTATTAAAAATAAAATTTGTCAACTTAGAAAATTATAAACTTTGTAAACTTATTAATAAATCAAATAAGGTAAAAAAAAATTATTAATAAATAAATAAATAAATTTATTGAAGTTTTATTTTATGTATGTTACATTACTAAAAATTGTGAAAAAAAATATTTTTTTTGAACGTATCCCCGCCGTATCCGTATCCTACTTTTTTGAATTTTGCTGTATCGCCGTATCCGTATCGTATCGTACCCGTATCCCGTATCCGTATCCGTGCTTCCTTGTTTGATATTATTCACTAGGCTTTCGCTTTCGCTCACGCTCATTCATGTGTTTATAAGTAAGCCAAGAGAAGTCCAAACCCAGCCCCAGTAAAGTCTGTGAGGAACAACAAAGGTTTTGAAGAGTCAGCCCTTGCGTCTCACGCACGAGACCCGTCTTCGCCTTTTTTTCATTCTGTTTTATTTTGGTCATGTGGGCGAAGTCTTTGAATATGTTGTATATAGCCTTCTTGGGTTGACTTAGACTTATATGATCCTGTATGTACAGAACCTTGTGTAGTACATATTTTGCTGTGAGTTATTAATATGTATATGTATGGTTTGTTATGATGTGCCATGTAAGCACAGCTCTATGGACAAAGTTTTAAACTGCTTCTGTTTGGCCCCCATTAACTTTGTTAACATACATTTGGTTTGGTTTGAGGCCGTAGGTAATCTCATGATTACTGGCCGGTCATGTCCTCAACCCACGGGGGCAGGTTCGGGTTGTGACAAAAACCCTCTTAACTATTGGTTGATCCCTTTAACTGTGAAATGAATCACTTCCATGGTTCTATCCTCCTGAAGGGGGCATTTTTATAGTTTTTAAAATGTATGGGTTTATATATAAGAGGTAGAGTGATCTTCATTAATAGTTGAAGAGTCTTGGTGTAATTAATCCTTTATCATAAATCATGTCTCTTCTATAAGTAAATCATATGAATGAATACGCAGAAATGTTTCTTTTCAAGTATATTATATACATGTCATGGGGTAGAATTTAATTTACGTATCTACTTCGTAGGGGTAAAACGAAATGATGTATGTCATATATGGATAACTTTTCTAATCACTATGTGATTTTTTAAACTGATGTTGTCCATAATAAGGACCAAAGACTAACTAAGTCCAAAAACTTTGAAACCCAATTCCCAAGTTGATCATTGTACATCTTCTTTCCTAACCCAGTACTTAATTCAAGTTCGCCAATGATTATACAAGAATATCAAAGTGAATGGGAACAAAGAAAAGGTCGAAGCAAGTTTAAGTTAGCCCAACGTCTCAATCAGGCATTTTATCGAACATCATAATGTAGCAACATACAGTTTGTTTCAGTGCTCTAAATTAAAAAGTTCAAACGCATTCAATTCATTTTAACTATTCAAATCCAAATCCAACTATTAGTCATCCCATAAGAAACACAAAAAGAAGAAGAAGAAAAACAAAACACACAAGCAATAAAGCTGTGTTTACCATTTTTTTTGTAATTTTTTTCCTATGGTTCCTTGCCAAATGTTTGAAATTAGTGTAGACAACAATCCAATGCGTTGATGAACTTCTGAGAGGTGATTGAAGTTTGGAGAGCCACTGGGTATCAAAGTAAAGTGATCTTCAATTCACTTTTACAGTGGTGGCTGATTGCGAGACAAACAGAGACAGACAAGCTTTGCTTTGATGAATTGCTCGCTGAGTTTAATGATGTGTGAGTAGAGCCCCCAATTTTTTTGTTTTATTTGTTTATCTTATGTACTATACCAAAAAAATTAGGGGTTGTTTGGCAAATGGGTTGGGCTAATTTAGCCTATAAAAAGATAAAATAAGTTAAAAAGTCAAAATGAGACAAAATGTCACATTTAAATTATAATCATTTTATTTTATTTTTTTCACAATCATTAAATCAACTATTATAAAAAAAATCAAAAATATATCTCCAATAAAACTTTTTTAGTCAGATTAATATAGTCAAAAAATTAAATTAAAAAAGTTTATCCCAAATAAATACTAAATTTATTTATCTTATCATGTGTCTTTATTGAAATAATGATAAATAGAATTTTTAACATGGTACAAACCCTAGCTTTTCATGCAATACATGCAAAATTTGTAACATTTTTTCCCAAAAATACTATAACATATCTACAATCCAACTCGTATTAAACATAAACAATAAATCTCTACCTCAATGAAGGGTAAAACCTTAGGATTTCAAATGTGATCAAATAAAAAATCCATTCGGATGAAAATATAGCTCTCTTACTGTGTTCTACAATATTTATTCTTGAGTTTTTGTCAAATACCCACTTTAGGAGCTTTAGATTAAGGTTTCAATTTAAAAACACAATTTTTTAGAGAGAGAAAGTAGAGAGAAGAAGAGGGAATCTCAGATGAGAAGGTGAGAAAGTGGAAGGAGAGAGAAAGAAAATCTCAAATTTAAGTTTGTACGATAAGTTAATCGATCACACTTATCTTAACAAGTGCAATCGATCGCTCTTGTGATCGATTTCCTTTCAATCGCTAACTACTAAAATTTTAAAATTTAAAGTAATTGACATGCCCTAGCAATTGCTAGTTACTACTCAAATTACACAATCTATCTTTGTGAACCGATCAAGGAAGTGCGATCGATCGCATTCCGATTTGCCCAAGTTACTCATAAGCATGCAACCCAAAACATCAATGGTCATCTCTATAACAAAACAATTAGGAATAAGATTCTAAATTTCTAAGTGATAGATCAAAATAAGGTTAATCAATCAAGGCATAAGGGTCGAATTAGACCCTGGCCGTCACATAAACTGTATGGAAAATCTCTCCAACCTAGATGACACTAAAGAGACTTGTAACAACTTTGCAAGACTTGAATTTAAAGATACAAGAAGTGATGGACACACACGGTGTCTCCTATCTTTTTTTATTTTTATGTATTTTCTTGTTTTGTTACTCTCTCCAAACTCAAGTTGGTTAGTTTCTCTCCTCCTTGAGTTTGCGGGGGGCTGTTAGAATTTCTCATCTTTACCTTCACCTACTCCACTACACACTCCACTTCACCTATCTCCACTTCACCACACACTCCACTTCACCTAACCCACTATCACCTCCACTACACCTACTACCACATTTTCTTCTATATATAGATTGTATAGGAATTGTAATTTATCAATCTTGTAACAACAATTAGATATCAATCAATAATACATCAGTTTATTTTTTTACAGCTGTTGTCCTGGAAACATTAGAAACAATAATAATTATAAATAATAAAAATACAAATAAAAAAGTAAAAGCAGTTCCGCATGATCTATTGTGCTAATTAACCATTGCCTATGTATTGTGAACTTCACCAGTTGAAGCCAACACATGGCTTGCAAACTCATCGACAGTGAAAATTTTATCGTCTGATAGTTCTTGAATTGCAATAGTTAAAACCAACATAGCTTGGAAAGTCAATCACAAGGACATGAACTAAATCTATTTTAGTTAGTGACACTGAGAAGGCCACATCTATGGGAACTTCTAGCCATGATGTGAATCAGCTTATCAGCAATATGAATCAATATTTAGTTTCCATGCACACCCAAAACGAGAAAAAAAAGAAAATCAGAAGTAACAGGCGTACCTTTTGCAGATGCAGAACAACGAACGGTACAAAAGTCAAAGAGAAATAAAGTGGAAACGTTTTCCTGAAAGTTGCTGATGCTGCATTAGCATTGTGAACTAGACATGAATTTGTATGTGGATGAATTATGGAGCAGGGAATAATTGAAGGAAATTCTTCCAATTTTGCAAAGTTGGAGTTCTTTCTGCTAGATAGGTAAGCAGATAACGAGGTAACATCCACCGGGCCACCTCTGCAGCAATCTCTCACGGCCTTGTATACAGGTCGTGCAACTGGCCCTGTTTTTTGGATAAAATCTTGATATGATTTTGGCAAGCTCTCAGGACGCATTACAAAGGAATACATAACCTGGAAAGAGCTTTCTAATGAATAAGATAGGAAGAAAACATATGGAAGCAATGAAGAAACATTTCTAATATAGGATATAAAATGTCAGGTACAGGTAGTGTCATGTATTTGGGAGGTGGCCAAATAGTTGTTATGTAGGCAAATGAGAAAATTGAGGATGTTACCTGTGCGCATGCAAAGGCAAAAAGCAATGCATCTCCATGTCGCCAATGGCTTCCCCAGAGGTGAAACTTGTTCTTGGACTTTGCGGAGTTATAAGCACACTGAACAAATAATTGCAATAAAATGCCAGTGTACGGAAAAAAACCAATTTCTACAACTTCATGTTAGATGGACAGATAACCCAAGGAAATATCAAATTAAAAGACATACCTGGGCAAGCCTAGCCAAAAGATACAGAGCAAGTGTACGCCTCCGATTCGAATCATCCAATGCCAAAATAGACAAACCTTGCTACTGAACCTGCTAAAATTCTGGTCCATCATCCCCTTTAACAAAGTCACAAACGTGGAGTAGAATATAGAATGCATCACAAGATTTTAAAATAAGACCAAATTATTCACACCCCAAAACCAGGAAATTAAAAAGGAAAACACACGCGATAAACCACAAGCAAAGTTATACATAGAAAATGTTTCTACATGAAACTTACGCATTTAATGGTGTCTCTTTTTTTCTCAACTTTCTCAACAAACACCTAAGGGCATGATAGGATCCAGTAAATCCTCCAAAAAGTAAACCAATTCGACATGCTTCCTCTCTTACTATCAGATCTTTCTCTGAGACAAGTTGCTGCAAAACTCAAATGCTCAACATTAGGGCACGAATATTCTCAAGATGCATGCCTTTAGAAGGTTACATCAATTGACAAGTAAAACTTCTATTTAACCTAAAAGAGGAAAATAAGAACAATCTACCATATATTAGAGAGAGAACTTTGTTCTCTTTTATTTGTGGTTGAAAACAAAAAACAATACAAGTAAGCAATGCACCCATCATATTCAACGAGGCTGCATATCCGATGATTACAAAATTGACAAACTAAAGAACTAAGATAATAGTGGACGAATAAAGCATAGGCACTAAATTTCTTGCTTTATATCTAAACATAACAAAGAAAGCAATATTCCTGTACAGATGTTTAGAACTGTTATTGGAAAACATTACTCTCAACATTTAAGTACAGAAGCATTGTCTTTTCCAAGTGCCATTTTTTAGATCTACTTTTCCCAAACAACAAGAATTAAGAAAAAACTATCAATTGCATCTGATAACATTTGGACAAAGAGAGGGAGTGACAGAGAAAAAAGAAAACCCAAATAAACTAAAGTTGCTTAATATGGACTCCCAGTATAACAATAAAAACAACGAACTTAAACGCATAGAAGATTTGTGATTGCATGTTCCATAAATTCAAAGGATTCAGAAATAAAACCATGCTATGTCCCTTGTATTTTATTTTATTTTAATCCTTTGTCAATGACTTGCAAGCTATGAAGCACAGATATTCCAAAAATAGTGCCGTACGAGTACCGCGTACTTACCGGGTGCAGGTATACGTATTGGTACGGCGGTACACGTACCGGGTACGGCAAAAGAGGGTCCGGTACGTTTGGTTCATTCGGGTACAGCGTGAGTACGGCGTGGGTACTCCATGGGTATGCCGTTGGTACGTTTCGGGTACGCCAGGGCCTTTTTTTTTTTTTTTTTTTTTTTTTTTTTTTTTTTTTTTGCCCTTACAGATCAACAATTATTATCTTTTAATTTTTTATTTTTTTTGTGTCCTTGCAGATCAGTAATTTTGATATTTCTCTGCTATCATGTCTATCTGTATGAATTGTATAAGCATATCAGCAAATGATTTTTATGTTTTTAAAAAATAATTTGAACAAAAAAAAATAACAAGGCCTATAAAGGGTAGTTCTGTGTATGACTATGCAATATACTTTTGCTTCAGATCTTCCTAGAATTTCTTTATAAAATCTTTAATCATAACAAACTGTTAAAGTTTATGCACAAAATATTAAAAATTGATACTGTATTAGTTGATTAATAGTGATTGAGAATGATGCAATTTTATGTATTATGCAAATTGTATTTGACAACCTGCCCCAATTGAGAATTTTTTTTCCTTTACTGTTGGCAATTAACTTTAAATCTTTCTTTGGTCTCCTGTTATTTCTTTGATCTCACCCTATAAAAATAGCAAATTGATGAGCAAAAAGAAAGATTTTAAAAATAAATTATGATCACAAATTCACAGTGCATAACATGTCAAAGTGAGAGATTTCACAAATATTATTTTTAACACTTAATGGTTTTAAATTATAAAAAAATTAGTAGTTCTCTTTTTAGTTTTGATATTTAATTTTAATTTGTAGGTTGGATCCTTTAACCATAATTATATTTTAAAAAAAAAAAATCGGCATACCGCAGCCGTACCCGTATCATACTTTTTTTGAGTTTTGCCGAATCGGCGTACCGGCACTCGTATCCATACCGTACTCGTTCCCGCACCCGTGCTTCCTTGCTTGCAAGTCTCATCTTTATAATTGACGTCAATGGTCTAAATGACAAAAGATATTATTGTGTTGCTAAGATACTACGTTTGTAATAAACAAGGACAATGTTTAACACCTTACAAGAGGAAGAATTTGCAAATTTACTAATTAATATTAGCAATAATTGTATTTGATATTGGTTCACCCGGTAATTTATTCTCCAATGTAATCCCATGAAATCAAAATAAGTTGTAATGACCAAAAAGAAACCCCTCCCTAATGCAGATGAAAGACCAGTATATAATTGCAAATGCCAAACAAGCTCACTGTTGTCACATCGCATCACATCACATCTAGGTAGGGATGGCAATATGAACCCGGCCCGACGGGGACCCGGACCGCCCTGTCCCGATAAATAGGTTTTTCCCCGAAAATTATTCCCCGTAGGGCCGGGGCTGGTATTAAAAAATGCATCCCCGATGATTTTCGGGCCGGGGACGGGGATTAATTTCTCGGCCCCGGCCCTGGCCCCGGCCCGACATTTCCCCGAAAGATCCCCGCATATTCTATTTATATGTTTAGTTATATTATTGTTGTATTATTATATTTATATAACTCTTTCTCTCTCTCTCTCATACTCTCATCTCTCAACTCACTCTCTCAACTGACTCTCATCTGTCTCTCACTCTCTCACTCTCTGGTTCTTCTCTCTCTGTCAACTCTCAAAGCCATATCGATCCAGACCAGATCCAGTCTCAAGAACAGCCGTTCTCCGTCGCAACACTTCCTCTACCATCCTCCATCGCAGATTCGCAGCACCGCCATAGGCCGTAGCACCTCCTCTCTCTCTTCTCTCTCGCCGTAGCACCGCGGTTTCAGCCATGTTTCGGCGTAAATCTGAGTCGATCGACATGGATCCGTGCGCGATCCACACAGATCTGTGTATATGTATACATGTATGTGTGTGTGTGTGTATCAGTATAAATTTTTTTTTGGTTCATTTATTGTATATGTATACATGTATGTGTGTGAATCAGATCTCTCTATATTTTTTTGGTTGTAATGTTGTGTTGCTGATCTGTTCTGTTGAGAGGGTTGTTTGTTGTGGATGTTGTTTTTTACGGGGATTTTTCGGGATCGGGGATCCCCGATCCCCGTTGGGGGCGGGGGTGGGGAGGGTTATGGGTTCCCCGCCGGGGATCGGGGACGGGGATGGGGGAGTTTTGTGCCTTCGGGGATCGGGGACGGGGAGGGTGATCCCCGGCCCCGCCCCGCCCCGTTGCCATTCCTACATCTAGGTAGATTTATGATTTGCTGATTACGCTAACTAAAACTCATGTGGTGTTGTGTGTTTTCATTTCTCTCTTTAGAAAGACAAAAATATACAGAAAAGCTTAGACACACCGAGTATTTGATCTCCAAATTCATGTCATCACTAATCAACGTTCAACACCAGCCAATGATCTATTATCACCACCTCTGCTACGTCAAGTTAGATCTTGTAATAGAGTAACTGCCTATCAGAATCTCCAACAACAACATTGCCTTATCCTGAAGTCCAGAACAGATAGCCTTAGATCTTGTAATAGTCCCCAGCCCAGCTAGCTTCAGGTATCGGGTGAAGTACAGACTCGAACCTAACACCTAGTTGTTTAGTGGGTTGTTTTACTCCATTTGAGCTTACCCTCACGGGTCCCTTAGTTTTGCCTATTTTAAGTCAATGCATTATGACCACAATATCAAGGTAAAACATGAATATTTTAATGAACTCGCAATTAATTAAGATCGTATGAAGATCGATCAGTACATATAGAGTACGATAAATATAAAAATACATATGCGCATATAATTATTCTATATCAACTGACTCAAATCACATATGAAACCAAAATGTAACTTCCAATTTCATATTAAAAGGGAATTACGATATAACCAGTAAATTACTTGGAATTGGATATCGAACCTTGAGATCAAGAAGGGACGAATAGGATTGTCCGCGAGCGAGCTTGAAAGCGCGGAGCAAAATTCCAATGCCAACGCGAACACCGTAGGAGAGGAGGAAGCTCTGGCAGAGGTTTCCAATGGCGTTGGCGACGCAAGACTCGTCGGCGTGATCACAAGGAGGCTGGACCCGCCGTGCGCGGCGCTGCCGGCGTTGCAGCTCCTCGATGGCCTCCCTCAGCCGATCCTCGGCCTCCCGGAGGCGGCGCTCGGCAGTGCCATCGGAGGTGTCGTTTGGCTGCGGCGGAGAGGGCGGGGAGGAGAACGAGGAGGTTGTAGAGATAGACATTTTAGAGAGAGAAAAAGCAGGTACTCTGCATCTGAGAAGACAGAGCGAGAGATGTGTTTGGCTGCGTAGAAAGAGAAAATGAGGAAATGGGGGAAGAGGGTGGAAATGCAAAAGAAAAATGCTAGAGGTCCCAAATTTTTTACCAAACAAATGACCAAATATCTCACATGGGTGTGGGGCCCACAAAATTGCGGACCCCACACCCATGTGAGACATTTGGTCATTTGTTTGGTAGAAAATTTGGTATCCCTAGCATTACCCAAAATTTGGGGTTAAAAAATTTAGTTTGGGAAAAAATTTTGATTTTTTGGTTTTTTAACTTTTTAGTGAGATGTCTTTCTGTTAAATTACTAATATGTCTTTTTTGGCTTTTTTTTTTTTTTTTTTTGGATTTGACAAATTTTACTTAAATTTTTTATTTATTTATTTATTTATTATTTTCGATTTGGATTTGGCGTATTTTGTTTAAATTTTTTTTTTTTTTATTTTGGGTTTGGATTTGGCGTATTTTGCTACTAAATTTTGTTTATTTTTTATTTTTTATTTTGGGTTTGGATTTGGCGTATTTTGATTAATTTTTTTTTTAAGTTTTTTTATTTTCGGTTTGGATTTGGCGTATTTTGCTTAAATTTTTTTTTATTTTTTATTTTGGGTTTGGATTTGGCATATTTTGCGTACATTTTTTTTATTATTTTTTTATTTTATTTTGGGTTTGGATTTGGCATATTTTGCTTAAATTTTTTTTTTAAAATTTATGTTTTTGTCTTTTTTTTTTATACATTAATTAATTCTTGTTCTTTAATTTACGTTTTTTGCCTTCTTTATTTTTATTGGCATACAATTTATTTTTTATTTATTTATTTGTAAATTACGCGGCGAATGATAATTTATGTTTTCATGTTTTTTTTTAAAATGTTTTTAAATAAGGCGTATTTTTGTCGTTATTTATTTTAAATTTACGATTTTGTCATTTTTTTATTCACTCACATTAATTTATGTTTTTTTTTTCTTTTTTATGTTTATTGGTATACAATAACTTTTTTTTATTTTTCAAAAATGAGTTTTCATGTGTTTTATTTATTTCTAAATTACGTCGCGAATGGTAATTTATATTTTTATTTTTTTTAAAAAAAATATTTTTGAATGAGGCGTATTTTTCTCGTTATTTTTTTAATTTACGTTTTTTTTCATTTTTTAAGTTTTTTGTCGTTATTATTTATTTTTTTATTTTTTTGTTTTTACATATAAAAAATGGGTTTTCCTGTGTTTTATTTATTTGTAAATTACATGTAATTTATGTTTTTATTTTTTTAAAAAAAAATATTTTTGAATGAGGCGTATTTTTCTCGTTATTTTTTTAATTTACGTTTTTTTTCATTTTTTAAGTTTTTTGTCGTTATTATTTATTTTTTTATTTTTTTGTTTTTACATATAAAAAATGGGTTTTCCTGTGTTTTATTTATTTGTAAATTACATGGCAAATGGTAATTTCTATTTTTTTTTTTTTATCTTTTTGGATGAGGCGTATTTTTGTCGTTCTTTTTTTTTTTGAATTTACGTTTTTGTAATTTTTTAAATGAGGCGTATTTTTTGTTAAATAATTTATGCATTTTAAGTTTTTTTATTTATTTTTTTTTTGCAAATGGTTTTTTCATGTGTTTTTTATTTTATTTTATTTTTTTTCATTTTCTGTGAAATGATAAAAAGTGAGGTTTTAATTTATTGTCCTGTGTATTTTAAATAATTTAATTTTAATTTAATTTTAAATATTTAATTTTTATTTAATTTTAATTTTAATTTTAATTTTATTTTAAATATTTAAATAATGTAAATAATCTAAAAAATTTAATAAGCAAAAATTTAAAATAAATATTCAAAAAATTTAAATAATTTAAATATTAAAAAAATTATTTGAACAAAAAAATTTAAATAATTTAAAATGTTAATATTTTAAATTTAAAAACAACTCTACACTCAAAACGTAACCAAACACATAAAATAAAACTCAATTAATAAATTATTTTTAAAACTCATAACCAAACATATAACTCGAAACTCCATACTACTTTCACAACTCTACGCTCAAAAAATAATCAAATGCATAATAAAAAAAATTAAAATATTTTAAAATATTTTTATAAATAGAGTTTGGATTTATTTTTATAAAATATTTTAACAAAAAACAAAAAAGTATTTTTAAATTTTTTTTTTCAACTTTCTTTGGTTTTTTGGGAAAACGTGTTTTTATTGGGAAAATGTTGACATTGGAGGACATTGGAGTCTTCTTAGAGTAGCCCAAATAGCCCAGGGGTAAATTGGTAATTTCATCCCTCTTTGTATGGAAGTTATGCTCCAAAACGGAGGCTGAATGTGTTTTGTCCGTTTGTGGCTAATTTAGCCAATTTTGTCAGTTTGTGGCTAAATTAGCCCACAACCCTCTTACCAAACACAGGCTTAGTCAGTCGTAGAAAATGAAAAAGAAAAAACATTAGTGATGAATGATTGGAAAATAAAAAATAATAATAAAAAGCAATTAATTTTCAAAAATAGAAAAATAAAATGCAATCAAATATGTTCCGTGTTAGTCCAATAATGCTCTATGCATATATCAATGTATTAAGAGATGATATAGTATAATTTTAAAAAATTTAAATATTTATAATTTATATAATAGGTGGGTCAATAATAATATCATAATATATGTTAGTATATTAATTGGTGCATATAGCATCACGAGAGTTAGTCACTTACAATTTATTACTATTAATTTTTATGATAAATTATACTTTGCTCCACACTGATTCTTAAATTTGAGTTTTTTTTTTCACTTTGATTTTTTATGTTTCAAATTTTTCTTAATTTATTTTTAAAATTAATTTTTATTTAAATTAAATAAAAAAAATATCACGATAATTGTCATAAAAGGGAGTGTGCTTTTTTCTTTCTTTTTTTTTGGAACTTTGGCTGTGTAGAGGAAATGGGAAAAGGGTTGAAATGCAAATGGGGGGAATTATTAGTTAGCGGTAGACGGGGAAAAAGGAAAAAAGATTAGTGAAAGATTCGAAAATAAAAAGCAATCAATTTTCAAAATAGAAAAATAAAGTACAATCAAATATGTTCTATTTTTTTTTTTTGGTACAGAAAAATTTCCATATTCTCCAAACAACACCAGAGTCGAGATCATTAAGGTATTATATTGTTCATTTCGAATTAGAATATAACTTGGGAGCTTGCATCAATCCCTCAATACAAGCACCGGTTAAACTAGGATTTGCACAATAGAAGAGAATCAAATCCACGCTAAATGCTATGTTGGTAGCAACTTGAAGCCCATTTCCTAACCAATTGCATTGCATCCAAGCCTAATATGTTCCATGTTAATCACTTACAATTTGTTACTATTAATTTTTAGGTTAAATTAAACTTTCCTCTCTTTATGGTTGACCACATTGACTCTTAAAATTTATTCTTTTTATTTTGACCTATCATATTTTAAATTTTTTTAATTTACTTTTAAAATTAAATTAAGTTCAAAATTAGATTAAAAAAATATCACAATAATTGTTACATTGTTTGGTTTGTTTTTCAGAAATATTTTTGGAAAAAATTCTCTACAAACAAATTTTTAAGAGTAATCAAACCAAATAAATTTTTTTAAAAAAATCTCAAAATTTTGTTTGGTTACCTACTTTTCAAAATCACACTCTCTCTCATACACATCAAATCAATCACTTTTTTTAAAACTCTCTCCCCAAAACAATTTTTCAAAACTATTTCTGAAAAAAGGCCCAAACAAGTTTTCGTACTTTTTATTTCAAAAATTATTCTACAAACACAAACCAAACACACCCTGTGTGTTTGGCAGAGAGAGAATAAGGAAATGGGGAAAGGGTGGAAATGCAAATAGGGAGAATTCTTATTAAATTAAAAAATCAAAAAGCAATCACTTTTGAAAAATAGAAAAATAAAATGCAATCAAATATATTTCGTGTTAGTCACTTACATTTTATTATTAATTTTTAGAAAAATCCTTCATGCCATTAATTCAACACCACTAAAACATCACTAATGACATGGCATCATGTGAATCCCACAATGGATGCGATAGTTTGGCCTTTGTTTTTTTTTTTTTTTCTTGCACTTACCAGCTCATCAGTGGTGCTTTTGAAGCTGTTGATTTAGTGCTCTAAATTGGAACTGTAATTTTTATAAGAATTTAAATATGTGTGATTTGATTTTTCAAAACTTATTTTTAAATGTATTGTCGTTCATGGATTGTTTTTTAATATTTTAATTAATTTTTTATACTTTTTAGTTACACCTAATTTAGATACATCCAAAAAATAAAATAAATTAACTAAAATATTTTTAAAAAACCATTAAAAATAAATGAAAATTAATAAAAAAAATTATTTGCATTTTTGTTCCGATTTTGTTTATTTTTAGTGATTTTTTCATATTTAGTTTTTTTTTACTTTTTAAAAAAATATATTTGACTAAAACATATTTAAAAAAAAAAATCAGTAGGCCTCATTTGGAATAGATTGTTTTAGTTATTTTTTAACCTTTTTGCTAAAATATAAGGTAAAAAAACTAGTGCGTTTATGACAATTTTATAATTCTTTACAAAAAAAAAGAAAAATTACAAAAATTAGAGGATAAAAAAAAGAAAATCTTTGACTTTTTATATAATTAGTTGACTTTTTTACTCTTTTTGTGGAACATGTTGCCAAATGAGCCTTAAACAAATGAAAACCCATTTAAAAATAAAGGCAAACTTCATTTTACTCCCTTAGAGTTTGGGTCATGTGCGGTTTATTTTCCTAACGTTTAAAAATTATCGCATAACTCCAACGCGGTTTGTGAATTAAAGTGCACCATTAAACACTGTTAAACATTTCATCCAACTTAATAGTAAGTGTGAAACACGTATGTCACGACCCAAACCCGGCCCTATGGGTTTAGCACCGTAACCGGCCAGTAATCCGAGATTACCGAAGGCCTGCAGAACAGTAGAACAGTAAAACAGAGTACAGGGCCTGGCGGAAGCCAAAATAGTAAATAAACAATGTCCAATGAGCTGTGACAGTCTGTATGCAAAAAGACT